AAGAGGGTTGAGAAGTATTATCAAAATTTTGCTTTTGCAAAAAGAGGCTGTATTTTTCTTATTTTGTTGTTTATTACAGAATGTTGCATATAATTTTATTTAAAGGTTTAATCCCTCAGCGATCAGCTTTATATGTTGTATGAATTGCTGTTCTCTGATATGCTGCCAGGCTTCATACCTTGTATGAACTAAGTTATTTTATCTTATCTCGAGAGGCTCATGTTACATTTTTATTTGTGTTCATAGATTATTTTCTGTACATTTTTTCATATGTTCCTTCTCTTTACATCTTCACTTTTATGTTTTCATTTGTTATAGATGTAATAATGAATAGATATTCATTTGATTGTAAGTAAAATAAAATATTTGTATTCGTTGAGGGGTTACCTAGACTTTGTTCATGGCACATTGCTAAAAACTATATTGGCATTAGTATAAAGTAATCAAATTCCTATATTTACAAACTTCGTACCAATAATTGTTCCAAATAGTAGATCTGAATATCGTATTTCTGTGGAAGTTACTTTGCAATATCGAAATAATGCTGCGCAAGCGAAATTTACATTGATTAATAAATTTTATTTATATCTTACGTAACATAACATTACACGTCATAAATAAGTGAAATTTTTTTAATCTAAAATGTTCCTTTTTGATTTTCTGATTTGTAGGAAGAGTAAACACCGTTCTCGTTCCCGTTCTCGATCGCGAGACCGTAGGGAAAAAGATCGTCGCGATCGTGATAGAGATAGAGACAGAGATCGTGACAGAGACAGAGATCGTGATCGTGATCGTGATCGTAGACGCAGATCAAGATCAAGAGATCGACGAGACCGTGATAGAGAAAGAGATGGCGACAGAGACAGGGATCGGCGAGACAGAGACCGGGATCGAGACAGAAGAAGAAAACGATCACTTACACCGATCACACTTCCTAGAGCGAGACCGCCATTTGGAAAAGGTGTTAGTCCCCTTGGAATGTAAGCACTCCTTAACAATGTTAAAATTTTCAAATATAATTGTTGAACTGATAGTTTATTTTTTATTACAATTATATTATTAATATTATATTTTTATATGTCCTGTAGTAGAAACGACGAATTAACGCCAGAAGAACGAGACGCACGAACAGTGTTTTGTATGCAGTTAAGTCAACGTATACGTGCACGAGATTTAGAAGAATTTTTCTCCAGCGTTGGCAAAGTTCAAGATGTTCGACTCATTACCTGCAACAAGACAAGAAGATTTAAAGGGATAGCGTATGTTGAATTCAAGGATCCCGAAAGCGTTACTCTGGTTAGTGATAAAAAAAATAATATATCGCATTGAGAAATTTTCTGGCTACATATTACATTGATTTTGTTTTCAGGCTCTTGGTTTATCGGGCCAAAAGCTTCTTGGCGTTCCTATAGTTGTACAACACACTCAAGCCGAAAAAAATCGTATGGGTAATTCTATGCCGAACTTGATGCCAAAGGGTCAGACAGGTCCTATGAGATTATATGTTGGATCTCTTCACTTTAACATTACCGAAGATATGCTTCGTGGAATTTTCGAACCGTTCGGAAAAATTGATAATATTCAGTTAATTATGGATCCAGAAACTGGTCGAAGCAAAGGCTACGGATTCTTAACCGTATGTATTAATAAACATTATAAGTTGCTTATTTTACCTCGTCATTTTATTTGATGTTCGTATGTTTATAGTTTAGGAATGCTGACGATGCGAAAAAAGCTTTGGAACAATTAAATGGTTTTGAACTTGCTGGCAGACCTATGAAAGTTGGTAATGTCACAGAACGTACAGATTTAATACAAGGACCTTCGCTTCTTGATACTGATGAACTAGACAGGAGTGGTATTGACTTAGGTGCTACTGGAAGGTAAAGAAGAATTCTTATATAGAATTTAAATTTACAGTGGAATCCTGTATACCGCGGTGATGCGTTACGGGTTGTATTAATGCTTGTTATAGGAAATAGTGACATACGAAAGTTTTCCTCTTAAAGTAGAAGTAATATACCTAATATGTGTGAATGAAACATTTTGTTCCATATAAATTCAATAATAGAAATAATTTATCAAATTAATTATGTAATGATAGTGATAAGTAGTTGATCAGGACTGATAAAACATTTTTGTAGTGTTGATTATTAGTCACAATTAGAATCGTTCAAAGCTATGTTTAATGTCTTCGTTCCAGTGTAATTAGTTATTCGTTTTACTTATTTTCATTTTATTTTATAGCGTGTGGTGCGAGAAATTGCATTATATGAAAATAATCATCACAATATGATTGACGCGTTATAAGAACTCGTGTTATATGGGAGTCTATTGTATTTTAAAAATGTGCTTATTTTATACTCTAGAAATACTAAGTATCACATTGAAATGCTTTCTAGGTTACAATTAATGTTCAAATTAGCAGAAGGAACTGGACTTGAAATTCCTCCCGCAGCTGCAAATGCTTTAAACATGGCACCTGTTATGTCTACGCCACAACCACCACCACAAGCTGCTCCCCCTATTGCAACGCAATGTTTTATGCTATCAAATATGTTTGATCCGCAAAAGTAAGTTACATTAATTAATTTCAACATCCTAAAAATGCATATCTGTAGACCCAGTGGTAGATTTTTCGTTCTTTTATTGGGGGAACGTATATGCGATATTAAAAAAAGTTATCTTCAAATAATATCATGCGTAATGGTATTCACGTATGTTAAGTAGGGATAACTTAACACATTACCTAATCTGCTGTGCGGCAAGCTAGTATAAATGAATTAAATGAAAACTAATAAAACTGTATTACTTTGTTTCAGTGAGACAAATCCAAATTGGGCGAAAGAAATTCGCGACGATGTTATCGAAGAATGCAACAAACATGGTGGTGTATTGCATGTATATGTAGACCAGGCTTCTCCTCAAGGTAATGTTTACGTCAAATGTCCATCAATTGCAACAGCGGTTGCGGCTGTGAATTCTTTACATGGCCGTTGGTTTGCGGGTCGCGTGATTACTGCAGCATATGTACCAGTTGTAAATTACCATTCATTATTTCCGGATGCGATGACCGCCTTACAATTGTTGGTCCCAAGCGCACCCAGAAGAGGAATGTGATCTTAAATACCGAAAAACAACGTATAAACTTGTAAATTCTTATAGTATTACATTTTTTCTTGTCGATATTAAGATAGAAAAAGGGAAACTTTGTTACTGTAATGATATCGTTAAAATGTCAATATAATTGAGCGCATGAGGGTAATCTTACGCTACGCGTTGCTACTTACGCGTTCAGACGTGGAAGTGTTCTTGTTCCGTTTTGTCTAAAACGTGATAAAATACTTTACAATGCGTATTCAATGTAAAGTTTCAGTTTGTACCTACTCACGCGTCAATAATCTTGACCAATTAATGGAAGAAATTATCCTTGATAATTCACCTTTTAAATGTTACATTTAGTACGTGATGAAAGAGTTCGTCCTTAAAAGTAGTTATTTATTAACGCAATACATAGAATGATTCAAAATTGTAACTCATGTATTTACGTATTATTAACACTTACAAACAAATTTATTGTTACCTGTATTACACAGCGACGAGAAAGTGACTACTTGATACTTGGCTATTAGTATCCGCGATTTTACAAAAACGAACAAATTTTGGCGTTTAATCAATTGTAATGAAAGTAAACAGCAACAAAATGGAAAATTTCAACGTATATACATATAAAGCATATAATACCGAAACAGTCTGGAAATCTATTGTGACTATGTCAAAATTTACCGAGACTACTTATTTAAGAAAGATATAGGTTATATTAATAAGAAATTTCTTAAAACAATCCGAAAAACAAGAGGTCTGCAGGCAGAAAATGTCATGTATACATTTTTTCTTCTATATATGAATAAGGGCAATAA